TCCTCTGCCAGAGAGAGGTCACCTTCAGCAGCTCCAAGGTTGGATCTGTAGTTGGTTAGATGCTGAACTCCCTGCCACACTTGCCTGCTGTTGTTGCTGGTCAGGTGGTCCTCTATCCTCTTGGGCTGTGCTGTAGAGTTCTTTGTTGCCGGACCTCCAGGCGGTGTTCCTCTCCCTTAGCAGCCGCTGGACCCCCTGTGTCATCCAGGGCTTTTGTTTGGGGTAGACCCGGATGCTGTTGTTCATGTACACACAGAGCCCCCCTCCTCTGCTCTTACCGGAGTCCACTGTTCTGTCATGGGGCTGTGTGGTGTAGCCTGCTAGCTCGATGGCAGAATCCGGGATGGATTGGTGAAGCCAGGTCTCCGCGATAAGCAGAATGCACACATTCTTCACGGTGTTGTTCGCTGCAGTCTGTAGCCTCAATTCATCCATTTTGTTCGTGAGGGATCTAGCATTCGTGAGAGATAGGCTGAGTGGCTGCCTCCGTAGCCTGGTTAGCACGCCGGCCCTGCAGCCTTGCTTTTGCCTTCTTTCTCTACGTCGCCTGCGTGTCCTCCCTGCTGGGACGGTGATCCACGGAGAGCCGGGGCTCCTCGCCAAAGCCACCGGAATCTTGTGTGTTCAGAGGAGTTCTCCTGTTACGCACCGTTCGTAACATATTACGAGAGCTAGAGGAGGTCATGCTAGCTGTAGGTGTTATTCGCCCGACAGAACGTACACAAAACAAGAAACAACACGTATAAAAACAGCCATACGTGGCACCGACCGGGAGAACGCTGAGCCGCAGCAACTGTGTGTGCCGCCATCTTGTCCGCCATCACACAGATGGGATATTTATACTGCCTAAAACTGCACGGGATTAATTTGGAACGTTGCTTAGATATATATATATATACATAACATAGCATAAGGTACTAGTGGATGTTTCATATAATACCATATTTTCACTCAGCTTGAAAACTGAGCCCGCAACTGTAAGTGACACAGAGTGAAAATTCATTAGTTAGCTAGCTAGCTAACAGCATGGGTAGCTAGCGGAGCTCACTGATTGCTGTACAAACACAACTTTATCTGTTTGGGTGAAACTGGATCAGATTTTATGGAGAGAATATTGTCTGGCTGTTAGCTAACTGCTAATGTAGCTGCTCTTAGTGTGCAACCTAAAGGGGCTCAGCAGCCTCCCAGTGAACACAACCTCAGAGACAGACAGAGGACAGACAGAGGACAGTTGGACAACAGCCGTACCGAGGGGATTTATGGAGTTGTTGCTAGAAGTAGCTAACAGCTGCTAAGGTTAATGTTAGCTACCATCAGCTAGTTAGTTTGTGCAGGTTTTAAAAGGTATTTCTTGTCAACTCTTTTGAGACATGTATCTAAAAGTCAGAAGGTGATTATTTATTCTAGTTGACCTCTGTATTCAGACTTTTTAAAGACACTATAAAGACAAAGTAACCTACACTTCAAACAGGTGCTAACTCGTCTTCATGCCGTCCTCGTCCCGTATGACCAGAAGCCTTTGAATCCTGGCTTCATATGTAAATTCATTTCCTCAAGATGATGAACTTCAAATAGTAGCAAAAAACTGGTTTGTCATTTTTATGGGACTTTGCCCCATTCTGGGCAAAACAGAGCTGCAAAAACAACAACAAAAAACCTTTAGTCTTAAAAAATAAAGCCGAGGGGGAAAATGAATATATTCAAAAGATTTCACCGTTACTTTACTGAATTAATTACTTCAGGGACGGGGTTTTATTTCTGGATTGCCTTGAGGTTTTTGGAAGACGACTGATGTTATGCTTTTTATCAGCAGCTACACATTGTTATTGTGAACTCACTGTAGTCAGTCTGAATGGTGCCAAGCCTGTCTTGTCAGCACTCCAATAGTTTTTATTCATTTTCTTCTCTTTCAGTGGCACTCATCAGGGACCTCTGACTCTGGCTGCACATTTATGACAAAATCAATCAGATATCACGATATTACTCGACTGTATCACCTCAACGTTTTCGTACTCTTAACCTGAACGTCCAGTTTTACTTTGGTGAATCCGATCTCAGGGAAACAAACTGCACAAAACCTGCTGTAAATCACTTCTTTCAGCCATCGACATATTTAAAGGTGGACGACATGACAGATCCCCGATAGTCGAGCCAAAACATCAGAATCAGAATCTGGTTCATTGCCAAGTAAGTTTTTACACGTACAAAGAATTTGCTTTGGTGCATTGGTGCATAAAAATCACGCAAAAAATAAAGTACTTTTTGAAATATAAATAAATAAAGATAAAGATAGAAAGATCTAAATCTGATGAGTTCCCTAGGAGGAGGAATTAAAATACATCAAGTGCAAATCACCAGAAATGACCACTAATTTCAAAATGGCCGACTTCCTGTTGGATTTTGGGGTATGGGTCCAAGAGGTGTTTTTTGTTTGTCTCATCATAATACATGTATGTCCTGATTTATATAGATAGATCAGAACATTTCTAAGCACCAAGCCCCTAAATTTGGTGGCTAAAACAATTTTTTTGTGGCCCAAATGTGTAAACTTAAAACAATAATGTACCGTGAATTCTCAAATAGTGCAAACATATAATGATCCTTTCCACAGATTATCTGTCTCATGTACGACACAAAAGGAAAGCACAGAGTGAAAGTTTCAGCAAGTGTGACTAAAACATATTTTCATAAAAACCAACTGCAGCTTTAATTGTGGGATATTTCTTCAACTTGAGTTCTTTAACTTCCAGACTTTTGATGTGCGATCGCCCTCAGTTTGCCCTCTTATGTAAACTGGCCCAGTTATTCTGCAGAAGCATCACTGAGGTTTCCCAGACCCAAAATAGTGTCTGCAGTTGGGAGGGTGGGTTGTGCATGGGGGGTGTATGTGGGAGCTACAGAATAAGTGAGTTAGATAAAATAAGAGAAAATAGGCAGATAAAGCGCGAGTGAGAAAGAGAGAACCAGAGACACACAGGAAGCTGCAGCTAGAGTCTGATTGATGGTCTGTCTCTCAGGGCTCTGGTTAAAGGGGGACGGGGGGCGGTGGTGGAGGTGGTGGGGGGTCGGGACTCTGGGCTTCAGCCACAGGAGCGTGTAATGACTGCTGAGGAATTTCAATGGCCTCAAACCCTCAGAGATATCCACCAGAGCCTCTTCCTCTCTCTCAATCTATCTCTCTCTCTGTTAAACTGTCTCTCCCTTTACTCCCCTCCTGTCCCCCTTTCTGCTCCTCCCACTCACTCAGTTCAGATGTGCTGAATTAGTTCTCAGTGAGGATTCACGAAGCTCCGATCTCTCCTTGTTTTCTGAGACTGAGCTCTATAATGAGAGTCTTTACTGATCCCACCGTTAGAGCAGCTCCACACAGCACAGTTATAGACAACAGAAATAGGAGTTAGATACACCGTTTATATATACACATCAATGGATTGATTGTACAGAGACGTTGAATACACACATTCTGTATTTGAAGCCTTGTGTTTATAGTGCAGCCTTATTGATCCATTAACAACATTGCAAGTATTCAAATGAATTGATATTCATTAATTGGCAGGCAGCATAATCCACTCCTCCCCTATGTCATGTATCTTCCTGTTTTATTTCGCAAATTACCTCTCCTTTCCGATCACTTCCTGCCAGTGTTGTTGGCTCCGCCCTGGCTGCTGTCACCTGTTAGCGTCCCTCGGTACCTGATTGCATGCTGTCTGTATCTGTTTATCTCTGCTCACACATTCAGTGTGAACATGCAGACAAACCAGTAAAGTGGCTCAGACTCTGATCTACATGATGATATTAGTCAACATTATTTTCATGACGCCTCATTTGCTGCCCTGCTAAAATTTACATATGGGAATTTGATGTACAAAACGCGCAGCAGCATTTGATGTGTGCAGTCATTAGATGCCAGCACTTGAATAAACAGCATTCTGTGGTAAATGTCAGCACATTTACATATTAATTAGGGTGAATCTATCTACACTGTGAGCAGCACAGGACTGGAAACAGAAACGAAGGGCTGACAGATTCATATAAACACACGATGAGGGTGACATCCAGACGTCTCCCTCCCTCTCTCCCTCCCTGTTTACTGCTTTTTGTCCTCCTTTCAGTACCGAGCCGTCATCTGAGACCGTCATTGAGAAGGTGATCGGCTGCAATCTGCCATCCCTCCAGGACTGCCGGCCTCCAGGAGCCTGAGGCGTGCAGGACAGATTGTGGTTGACCCTCCCAACCCGGACTCAAACGACTGCAGCCGCCTGCTGCTCTCATCAATAAGGCCAAAACAGAAAAACTAAAGTCAACTTGTTCCTATGAGAATAAAATTACTAGTTGCTTGGTGAGGTCCCCCCAGTCCAGCAGCTGTAGTGGGTCCATTAGCTGACTCTGTTGGATTGGGAGCTCCCAGTGAACAGCAGGTCCAGACCGGGACTGAATGCAGCATCTGATGCTGATGGAGGACAGTTTAACTGCAGGGAATAAAGGACTGAGGAGGGTTTACTGCTGGGTCTGGCTCCTGGAACCCTGGGGCTAAGTTGGCCAATGTTGGCTGCACAAGCTAACACCATCTAACATTACCTTTAGCGACAGTTAGCTTCTTTTAGCAACAAGTCCATCTGGAAACTAAACCACCTCGGTACCGCTGTCGTCAAACTGTCCTCTGTCTGTCTCAGGTTCTGTTCACTGGGAGTATATTGGGAATATATTCTCTCCATAAAATATGATCCAGTTTCCAAATCCAATCCGATCACTGATAAAGTTGTGTGTTTGTACAGTGTTAATAAAGTTGTGTGTCTGTACAGTGTTAATAAAGTTGTGTGTTTGTACATTGATAATAAAGTTGTGTTTGTACAGTGTTAATAAAGTTGTGTGTTTGTACAGTGTTAATAAAGTTGTGTTTGTACAGTGTTAATAAAGTTGTGTGTTTGTACAGTGTTAATAAAGTTGTGTGTTTGTACATTGATAATAAAGTTGTGTGTTTGTACAGTGTTAATAAAGTTGTGTGTTTGTACAGTGTTAATAAAGTTGTGTGTTTGTACAGTGATAATAAAGTTGTGTGTTTGTACAGTGTTAATAAAGTTGTGTTTGTACAGTGTTAATAAAGTTGTGTTTGTACAGTGATAATAAAGTTGTGTGTCTGTACAGTGTTAATAAAGTTGTGTTTGTACAGTGTTAATAAAGTTGTGTTTGTACAGTGTTAATAAAGTTGTGTGTTTGTACAGTGTTAATAAAGTTGTGTGTCTGTACAGTGTTAATAAAGTTGTGTTTGTACAGTGTTAATAAAGTTGTGTGTTTGTACAGTGTTAATAAAGTTGTGTGTCTGTACAGTGTTAATAAAGTTGTGTGTTTGTACATTGATAATAAAGTTGTGTTTGTACAGTGTTAATAAAGTTGTGTGTTTGTACAGTGTTAATAAAGTTGTGTTTGTACAGTGTTAATAAAGTTGTGTGTTTGTACAGTGTTAATAAAGTTGTGTGTTTGTACAGTGATAATAAAGTTGTGTGTTTGTACAGTGTTAATAAAGTTGTGTGTTTGTACAGTGTTAATAAAGTTGTGTGTTTGTACAGTGATAATAAAGTTGTGTGTTTGTACAGTGTTAATAAAGTTGTGTTTGTACAGTGTTAATAAAGTTGTGTTTGTACAGTGATAATAAAGTTGTGTGTCTGTACAGTGTTAATAAAGTTGTGTTTGTACAGTGTTAATAAAGTTGTGTTTGTACAGTGTTAATAAAGTTGTGTGTTTGTACAGTGTTAATAAAGTTGTGTGTCTGTACAGTGTTAATAAAGTTGTGTTTGTACAGTGTTAATAAAGTTGTGTGTTTGTACAGTGATAATAAAGTTGTGTGTTTGTACAGTGTTAATAAAGTTGTGTGTTTGTACAGTGATAATAAAGTTGTGTGTTTGTACAGTGATAATAAAGTTGTGTTTGTACAGTAATCAGTGAGCTCTGTGTCACTAACAGTTGAAGACTGATTGACGGGTGAGTATCAGGATATTATTGGTTGAAATCAGTTAGTTCATGCTGACGTAAGCACGCGTCACATTTAGTTTCACAGGAAGACACAATGATTGGATTCATTGTCATACATTGTTAAATAGAAGAACAATATAACTACAGATCTTAAAGGGTTAAAAAGACATTTTTCATTAAATCTTGACTTGTTTTTTTTTGTTGTTTTTTTTGTCTGAATCTAGACACAGAGGGTGTTTTACACTGTACAGGTTGTCCTTTAAGGAAAATGTGTGATTTATGATTTGTGGCTATATAAATAAAACTGACTTCATTCAGAGACAAAGTTGCTCTGATAGTAAGACAGACGGACATCAGTGAGACAGACATCGTAATCCCTCCTAGTCTCTTAATGAGATCAATGTTATCATCCAGTCCACTCACCACCAGCCTTTTTAAACAGTCCATCTACGCACACTGTTGCCTAGCAACTCTTTGATTGGCCATTAAGTTTTACATCAGCCCACAACAACAGAACGAGGGACGTCTCATTAAAGCCAGACAATGCTCTTACTGTTTGTCCTATTGATGAAAAATCTCCGTCCCTCCTCATGCAGACTCATCCTCTGGATCAGGAACTGTGAACATATGGAAGCCTGTTTCTGCCAATGTCATAGGAAAAAAGATTCTGTTAGTATAATATAAAACTTTCTCAAAATACTGATTCATTATCTCAAATACTGACTTATTATCTCAAAATACTGACTTATTATCTCAAAACAACGACTTATTATCTCAAAATACTGACTTATTATCTCAAATACTGACTTATTATCTCAAAATACTGACTTATTATCTCAAAATACTGACTTATTATCTCAAAATACTGACTTATTATCTCAAAACAACGACTTATTATCTCAAAATACTGACGTATCTCAATTATCTCAAAATAATGACTTATCTAAAAATAGCAACTTTTCAATCTCAAAATAGTGAGATACTATTATTTTGAGAAAGTTTCTCATTATAATAACTTACTTTACCTATTTTCTGCTCACATTGGCAGAAATGGGCTTCCATAGAAGCTGGAAAGAGATATTGTTCTGTTGAGGACCACATTGTACCATTTCTGTGAGAAAAATGTGGACAACTGAGATTTTGCGCCTGCAGACGAGGCATAATGTGAGATCTCATTTTAACCGCTGCAGTTTCTCTTTCATCTCTCGCACACATTCTGTCGCGTAATAAGGCCGACAGACACCCCGCCGGGCTGTTATTTAGAGATTTATGTGGACATTATTCTCTAAACCTGAAACAAAACTTGAATTTTACCCTTGGAAACGTGTTTATCTCACAAAAGCAGACGCTAATAATTCACTCATGCGGTGATGCTTCCTCGGATTATTTTATCTTGAGATACAGGAGAGAAAAAAGCCACCGAAGCCCTGATGACCTTGTTGTCTGCACAAAATGCAGTTCACTTAATACATCAGGAATTCAGAATTACAAACCAGCTTGACATATGCTCCTCTTTCCCACACGAGAGGATTCGTTTTGGTTCGAGAGGACAAAAACAACTTGCTGATTAAGTCTCCGGCCAACAAGGATGGCAGGAAAAGTCTTGGCGGTCCTGTAGATCTGACTTAATGGAGCAACTTGGTCTCCCACGCTACCAATGTATGCACACAAGGCTCAGAGAGGCAGCTCGGACAGACATACAGACCAAATGGAAATTGTTATGCATCTGGTGTCTGGCAGCAGACAACAGCAGCGCACATACAATCCTCCTTCTGTGAATTAAAGACATTCAGATGCTCAAATCACAGCTGACAGTAGTTCAATGATACCATCTAAGAGGCTGTTAACGAACTTACTTTGTGTAACAAAGAAAAACTGGAAATGTTGGAAATCACCAAATGACTAAATTCTGATTCTCTATTAAACTCAAATAAAAAAGCAGTCAGCTAAAGTTTATTACAGTTTATATTCATGCTTCTATTAATGATACGCAAGTAACTGTATGTATCTGTTCAACCTAGTTACCTGTAATTAACAGGGTTTAACATGAATGTTGGTGGTGCTTAAACCGACTAACCCAAGACCCCAGGAAGAGCGATGGGCTTTGAAGCTAATTTCACATAGTGGTCAAACTGTGTAATTACAGAGATGGCATCACGTTATCTTCATTCAAGGCTAAACCGGAAGTTAGCAGCTCAGCCGCTGAGCAGCGTCTATAGCAACGAATGGAGCTCCGCCGTTCTTCTTCACACATCCACACTAACTGGTAATTGATGATTTAACCTGAAACCCTCCAGGGGCTAATTGCAGTGACACTGAAACTGAGAGAAATGGCTTCAACATTTTCTTGACAGGTAAAACAGCAGTTATGTGCTTAAATATTTATTTCTTTGGTAATTTTACTTTTATATATTAATTATTAATATTTATTTTAATGATATGACCTCTGAGCCCACAACTACAGACCCTGCTCTGTCTGTATTAACATAAACATATATGATGTAACTACAGCCTAAGTGTCTTCTTACTGTTAAAATCTAACATTAGTTTGCCTTCTTATTACATGAAATCTGTATTTCCTATTGTTTCCTTTTGTTTGCACATTGAAAGTTAAAAAGGATAAAAGATTTTTCAGATGTTAAACAATTACTTTACGTAAAATGTTTGTAAACCTGTTTTTAAAACATTACATGTTTTATTACCTCATAAATAAATATCAATCAAATCTCTGCTATTAAATATTAAAATTACTGTAATGTTTTCTGTATAGATTACTTTAGCTTTATAGAGCAGTTGCACTATTTATTTACACATTTTACTCTGATGGTAGAGATAAAGTACATTATTCATACATTGTTTTAACCTGTTATAAACACTCTCTCTGTCTCTGTGGTCGCGGTTGCAACTTTAAATGTACATTTATGTGAATCCCATTAGACGAGCGCCATTTTCCTAATAATTAGCTATTTAAACAGACAAATCAAATAAGAGAACTTAGAAAGAGAAAAGAAGATTAAATTAGTCTTTCTTTGATTAACATGCACACAATCGTCTGTTTTCAGCCTCCATGTGAACAGACTGCAGTCTCAGCTCGGTGACGGGTTTCTGAATGCAGCATCACTAACCAGCCTGACATTTTCTGCCCTCCATTTTGTGGAACATGTTTGTTCTTCTCTTGGGTTTAGTGATTTTCTTTTTTCTTCCCTCCCACTCTTGGGAAGCTGCTGATTTCCACCTTCGGCAGAGAAACAGAGAAACTGTCATTCCTGTACGGAGTTAAAGTCTGTTTACAGGAGACACAAAGACCTTCGTTTTCATGTTGTTTGGCAAAGTGAACTAATTATATGAGATTACATCAGGTTGCCACTGTGGAGCAATAAAATATATCAGAGTACAACAGTAACAGGGGGAGGGCTGCCTCCGAATACGGTCCTCGATTATTATTTAAATAATACAGAAACCTTTTTATGGCCAAATCACTCGAGTAAACATGGTTGGATCACAGATCAGATCACAGAGGCAAATGTTATAAAGCTGAGTCCGGTGGAACAGGTGAAATTCGGGGCAGAGGACTTGGGCGTGGTTACTTATTCTGAGTGAGGATGATATGAACATTGTGTAATGGGCTGTGGATACACAGGTGACAGCTATGTTACAGACATTTTAAACATCTTTCCAGCAGCTGATTGTCATTAAGTTCACAAACACATTGTTTACTCTCGCTGTGGCGGCTGCGCTCTCTGACGACAGAAACAGGTCGGAAGGACATTTTTTAAATATATAACTACATCGTTTTACATTAATAACTAAAAGCAGTAATTATAGTCTACATAAGAGATTTAATCAGAATATTTTCACGGATTCAGATATTTAATGTAGACTAATTGATCATTTCAATCATTCTGGTGACAGTAATGATTATTAATTATTAATAACAATTTGTCTCAAAAACACACAATATGTTCGGTGCAGAGTCCAGTCTCACAGCATCCGACAGCTCCTGTTTTAACTCCTTCATATTATCTACTATTGTAACTGTTAACTTTCGGGACAGACAGGATAGGATTTGGGACTTCTGAACAACTGCGTAATTCGGGACTATCCCAAATTTCTCTGGATGTCCAATCACCCTGGTCCTGGTAGATAGTGAGTTATAAGAGAAAAGGTGTTGCAAACAATCCTGATACTTCCGTCCTGGTCACAAGGAGCAGCTCCCGAATGGATCGCTGTTTTTTCTTTGCGATTATCCAACTAATGAAAAGTGGGTGAACTTTGACTCTAAAGATTAGACAACAACCTGGTTCTTATAATTATATAATGAACAGAATTTCTTCATTTTCTTCTTTAAGATGAAATCAGATTCAAACAACAATTTGGGGCGTAGATTGACTAAAGTATGTTTTGTAATAATTCATTTAATATTTGCCTTTGTGTTGGTTTGACAGAATGAGGAGGTGGACCTGATGAACTTATGTTGAACATGAACCTTAGAGCGACTGCAGCTGACAGTGTGAGCGGATAATAAACCACTGTGTGTGTCTCTGTGTTTGCTTTATGTGGACTTCACCTCAACGGGCAGCTCGATGCCATTTTCCCTACGTCTCTGGGAACAACAGTTGTTCACTCGTTTTGTTGTTCAAACTATTCTTTTGGCAGAAACCACAAGTTTGGTTTCCAACAAGTGTGTGTGTGTGTGTGTGTGTGTGTGTGTGATGCATGTATTACCTAATTACACCTGATGGGTCTCAATCAGATCAGATCTGTCTGATCTCAAAAAGGTTTTTACTTCCACAGTTTCAGTGCTTAAAGAACAATTAATCAGAATAGTAGATTGGCGCATGACAGGAAACAGAGAATATAATTAAAGATAAAAATAAGACAATATTTACTAAAATGTGTAATAAAACGTTTAAACAAATGAATGAAGAGCTGTACAGTTTGCAGGAATGTTGATATATTGTTCAGGGAATGTGTGATTTAACAGTGTGACATATGATTATATTAACCCACAGGGAAGGACTTTAACGTTACACATATATTCAGGGTGGCAGTTAGTTTATCCCACCAACAGTCGAGTTTAAACATTTCCAGGACAACAT